TCCCGAAATTCATAACAACAACTCAAACAAACCACTAGTAATCATAGAATAAACGAGGATACAAATCTCTCATCCGGTCTTATATCTCCCAAGTAGCCTCATCCGCTGAGTGATTCCTCCACAAAACTTTCACTAAACTCACAGTTTGTTCCTCAGAACCTTTTCCTTCCAACCCAGAATAGTTACTGGTTCTTCATCATATGTCAAATTTGGATTTATTTCCAATGGTTGAGGAGGTATCACATGTGACGGATCCGCAACGTAATAACGAAGTATAGACACATGAAAAACATTATGCACTTTAGCCAGCTTAGAAGGCAACTCAAGCCTGTAAGCCACTTTATCAACTCGCTCGGTGATCAAATATGGTCCAATATACCTGAGACTTAACTTACCTAGCACTTACCTGTGCGTCCGCAGCACTAAACATACATATATGCAACTACTAATGCATAAATAAACAGGCAAACGCTATGCATGACATTTAAAACATATAAACATTCCATTTCATTTTCTGGGAAAAACCCACAAGTATATAGGTATATGCAGAAAACCAAAAGCCCACTCACTGATATGTGGAAGGGTCGTAACCCCTTGCCTTGAGTGACTATGTCAGAATATTCCGTCAAACTTAGGTAGTCCAGAAAAACGAATACTAATTACATAATACCCAAAGGTGATCCTACATTTGTGATGTTCTGTTAGAACCACCGTTAAGTCCTCGTGAACCACCAAAGCTGCTTTTAACTAGATCCTCGAGGGGCGCAAAACACAAAGTGTGAGTGGGCAAAAACAAAGCTTTTCAAAATCATGTCATTATCAAAAGTTCTAACACCTCACTGTAAGACCTGTATAGTTTCCCAGAAAATAGAATATACACATATATCGAAAACATGTTAAAAAATATGCCATGTCGAATGCCTCCACATGAAATGTAAGTAACCCAGGTAATGTCAATCAATGCAAGCAACATGTCAGCCGGAGTCATCTAACGTGACCTGTACAGCTGAATCTAGAGCTCAAATCCCCAACTCACTAACTATACATGCACACGAGTCGAAACCACTTAAAGTGGTCTGTACGACAAGACTGGGTGCAAATAAATACGCTCAAATGCTACGATCACGTGAAGACTGGGCAAATAATCGTGGGTCACCTACAAGTCGGAACCACCTATAATGGTCTGATACCAAACTGACACACCCCGACAGGAATCAAGGCGTGCTGGCCGTCACGTTTGTAAGGGTTTTGAGCCTCGTCCGTACAAGTGAGAAGGAGAGAGAGAGAGAGAGAGAGACATAGAGAGATACACGGGGGGAAGGAGATGATGTGGATGTGGGTCAGTGTGTGGTCCAGATGCAACCAACAAAACCACAAAACAATCACCCCAAAATGACAAATACCCACCAAGGGCAAAATCGTCATTTCACACCTACAGTACGAATTATTCGGGACGGGCTGTCACAATCATTCTCGAAATCCCCATGTATATGTTAGCATTTATGCATAATGACACACTATAGATCCCTCGAAATGCCATGTAGGAATAGGTATTTCTGTTGAAAAACACTCAAATTGTCTTTTTGTAACTGTTATTACTGACGTGGATTTTTAGACTCCTCTTTTTTTTTCTTTTTTCTTTTTTTTTCTTCTGAGCACGTCTATATTTTTACACTAGGTGGAAAAGGAATTCGGCCAAATCATACATTTGACAACCTAATTTAAACTTCTCCCTTAAAGATGCTCTAATATACCATTCAAGTGCACCTCTTTATAACTTGAAAATGCAAATGACCAAAATACAAGATGAAAAGCCAAATATACATCACACCACAAGTGGAGTTTGAAAACAATTATCCAACGTGGAAGGTAGCCTTTTTGTTAGCAAAAAGTAAGTGGAAATATGAAAAGCCGGTGGCGTTTTGGTGCCTTTTTGACCGCCGCAGCTGGCTGCAGCCCAACTTCTTTATATGTCCAGCCAAAATTCTGATGTCATGCCAGCATCAAACCATCTCAACTCCCATGTCAATTTCCACTCTCAAGTCTGAATTTCCTTCTCCACGAAGTTTGCTGTTTTATTGGGCTTCCAAGAAACCCGGCCCAACAATCCATAACGTTTTATGCTAAAATCCTATCAACTGCTCATTTGTAAATGTTTTTAAAATGATTATAAGAGATTTTAGAGAAAATATTTTTGGATTCTAAAAACACTTAAAATGCTTTCTGCAAGAAGCACGCTTCAAGTGCTTTTCCATAATTTACTTTCATTTTTACAAAATATTGGTTCTGAAAATACTTTCACCAACAAGTGTTTTCAACAATTTTAAAAATACTTATAAACGAGCCATAAAACTCTGTGTTTTTCGTTCACATCACTGTGTTCTTGCTCTGTAGTTGTTGGTCAAGCGGTTGAGTCTGATAGTTCTACAAGAGCAGTTTCGGCTCACACCCGTACCTAATCAAAATCATTGCTTTGAGGAATCTCAATGGATTAAGGATTTTTCTTGTCAATCCTCTTGTCTCAAGTTCTCTCAATGGTACTACAACTTATAATTAATTTGTGTCATGAAAAGTTATGTTATAATTAGGGATGAAACTTTGAACTATCACTAAGAAGAAAGACAAATCTTACTTAACCAGGTGTTGTTAATCATGCCAATGAATGAATAAATAAAAAATTATAGCATTGAATTATCATGTCAGGTGCTTTTTCTTTTCTAAGCAAATTAATTTAAATTACGTAAAGTGCACACCTTAATTCATTTCTAAAAATCTCCCCATAATTACCTCACAAAAACTGTTACAATAACCGATGGCACGGCCCAACTCATGTCACCTTTTTACCATAACAGAACTTGAAACTTTATTTCAAACGGGCAACGATCAATAACAATCGACAAGACTTGACTCATGTCACCGTTAATCATCCACTATTGAAAGTTATTCATCTTTCATAAATCCAAAAGTTAATTGTGGGTTGTCGGAATGAGATTGAAGCAATAATATTACGTGATGAAAATGAAGTGGGTTTAGCCTCATAATGGTTAACAATAATGTGATTCAAATTTATCTTGATGATAATCGAACCTAAGATATTTCACTTTTACAAATGAAGAGGAATACCACATAAATGAAATAACATGCTCAACTAGCAAAAGAGCATAACAGGGACAAATGCTCAACTTTACTAGAGATGCTCTATTGTCACGTGACAAGCGTTTATTAAACGAGTGATTCGCTTGTCAACACATAACAAACATCAATTGAAGCCACCTAAAATTCCGTATTGATTGCAACAGAAAATCTCTCCTACTTTGCATAATTTAATCCCCATTAGATCCCTCAAACCTTGTAGCCAGTTAGAAGAAAGGGAAAAAAAACAAAAGGTGTGATATCCATACATCCTTTTAATTTTCGGATCGAATAAATTGAAGAAATTCAAATGACAGAAATTAATAAGAGATGTGTAAGAAGTAAAAATAGGTGTGTAATCCGCACACCCCAAAAAAAAAGTTTGCATGGGTACTCAAAGAAGACTGCCTGAAGCCAGGGACAAGTTCTTGGCTATTGGTCGGCGGGGAGGTTTGCCGTGTACTGGAAGCCTGTTCTAGGAAGTCAACTCTAAGGTTTATATAATACAAGGTAGTCTGTAATGTTATACGTCCTGATTGAAGGCCGATACTGCATGTTTCTGCTGTTCCTCATGTGTTTACATTTATTGACAGCTCTAGTCAACTTCCGGGCTTCCGTGATTAAGTAAATGATGGAATTGTGGCAGACTGTTCAATCTTAAAACGAAAACAACGCAGGAAATCGTGGATTATAATCAGGAACTCGTGGGTTTTGCTTAAGCTTTCCAGTTCGTTTATATCAAGACATTTGATATGGTTTCATTTATTTTGTGAAATTAGATATTTTTCTGTAAAGATATTTTTTTGGAGTTCAGTAAATTGATTGCTTCTTTGGCTGTAAATTTGACAATGGTAAATTCTGGACCTTAATTTCAATGATGACCCAGTATTAAGTGGTTATTGATTAGCATTTGTTTTCTGGAACTTGGACTCTGATCAGTTCAAAGGTTTTGGGAAGGAAGCGCTTTTTAATCAGGCCAATTGGGTCCTCCTGGCAATACAATGTCGAAAAATTTAAATACGAGTCCGATGGTTTTGGCAAGAAGCAAATGGGTTGTGATTCGGAAGTTAACACCATCCTAATATATTTTTCGAAGTAATTTACTTATTTGTATTTTTCAGCTTTATGTGTCCAAGAGTTTTCAACTGTTAATTAGGACCTCGAAAAGGTTAATCAGTAGTGTTGTAGTAGCACAAAATGTAAACATCACTTTGAGTGATTAATATAAACTCTGTACGTTTTCGTTTTGAATGCTGAAGTAGGAAATTGCTTTGGTTAGGATACTAATGATCCGAAAATAACCTTGACTAAATTTCTTCTTTGTTGTTATAATATGCTGCTTCTGTGATGGGTTTTGAAATTTAAGTTGTGGATGTGAAATTCACTTCTCAAGATAGATGCGATAACACCTATTTTTCTCTCAAAGCTCTTTTAACCGAGTTGCCAAAATCAGTGATTGAAGCTCTCCATGACGAGTCAAACATCGTCCTGATACACTACTCTCACTCTTTCCTGCTTTTAATTTTGATTGTTTATGAACTGTGTGCTTTTAATTTGCAATTTGTTGCTGAATTTTATTTTGATAATTTGTAAAATTTTGTTTTATTTTTTGTTCGACAGCTTATAGGGTTATTGCCCACAAATTCTCTTTAGGCCAAACAATAAAGTTGGAAGAGCTACAGATTTGCTTTCGATTGGTTTCCCTCTATTGAGTGCAAACGTGCTTCTAATATACTTGAATTGATTCTAAGTTAGTATCTTTTCTTGGATTATTTGTGGTTTTGTGAGAGTTACTTAGTAAAACGTGCATTGTCTAAATTGCTATATTTAAGAATGTGATTGTATTGCTACAACAATTTCAATTAATTTTTCTGTGGATATTATTCATGTAGGTTGTCGAATATAGTTTGAAAACCCGCAGCGAAGCGCGGACATTCCTGCTGGTTAAAACGAAAACAACGCAGGAAAGTCCTCAGTACACGTGACATTGCATTTCAGTCGTGGATTATAATTTAATCCCCCTTGTACAAGAAACCCCTATAAATTTCATTTCTTGCCTTAGGCAGATACAACAGTATTCAACGTAGTGAGAATAATCCATTAGATCCCTCAAAACCTTGTAGCCATCAGAAGAAAAGGTTAAAAAAGGTTGCATGGGTACCAGGGATGGATTTCTTCCGGTGATAGATTTCTCCAAAGAGGATTGCTTGAAGCCAGGGACAAGTTCTTGGCTCTCCGTCCGCAGGGAGGTTTGCCGTGCACTGGAAGAGCTCGGCGGTTTCATGGCGATAATGCCCGACAAAGTTTCTGCTGAGCTCCACCAAACCATCTTTGGTGCACTGAAGGACTTGTTTGAGTTCCCTGCCGAACTCAAATCCAAAAACCGATACGAAGAGTATCCATTTTGTGGCCATTTCATATATAATTCTGTCCATGAGAGCTTGGGGATTCAGAATCCCACACACTCGGAAGAAACTCAGAAATTCACACATCTTTTCTGGCCTAACCAAAATGATCAATTCCGGTATGTATTGTACGAGTTTTTGCGTTTCATGAATTACAGTTCTTGTTACTCTTAATCATTTTCTTAATTAATACTTATTTACTAACAATTATTTATTTTTTTGGCCAGTGATAGTGTAGATTCATATGCAAAGGTGATGATGGAGCTTGATCATGTTGTAACAAGAATGGTATTCGAAAACTACGGTATGGAGAAGTACCACGACGAACACATTCAATCTACTTCTCACTTTATCCAGTTTAATAAATACAAAGAACCCAGAAAAGCTGGAAGCGATGTGGGTTTAGTGAGTCACACTGACAAGAACTTCAACACAATTCTTCATCAAAATCATGTCAATGGTCTGGAGATAAACACGGACGATGACGAGTGGATAATGTTCGATCCACATCTACCTTCATCCTTCCTTTTCATAGCTAGTGATGTGTTTAAGGTATGTACGTGACAACTTTTGAATTGACGAACACAATTAATTAATATTGCAACATGCATTACTTAGCGGAAGTTTCCATGGTCTAATTAATATTTTCTTTCGTTAATATAGGTATGGAGTAACGGCAGAATACGAGCTTGTAGACACAGAGTCAACATGAGAGAAAATGATGAGGCAAGATACTCGGTTGGATTTTTCTCTGTAAAGATAGGAGTAACAACCGTACCCAAGGAGCTTGTGGACGAAGAACACCCCTTACGTTACAAGTCACTAGACCAAGTGGAGTATATCCAAGCACAAGGGAAAAATGGAATTGACTGCACACTTGAGGCATACTGCGGAGTTTGATTATTTTTAGTTTACTTTTCGTAATATTACTTCCCTTTAAACTGAAATGTATTTATGTTTGCTGATGTCTCATTACTTGATTTCTCAATGTTTTTTAGCATCAAAATCGTTATTGTTGCCCTATGTGTGTTGGACCAAGTCATAACTTGGTTTCAGTTGTAACGGCGTCAGGTGTTGGAAAATATTTGTATTCAGGTGTTGGAAAAAGTCAACCAAGATGTAGTCATTCAGTTGTAGCTGTCTCGACAATCTCGTTTAATAAAATAATGTTTATTGTTATATTCTGTTTGTTTGTCCGTTTACTTTCAACCGTTTGTGATTCATCTAAACTCTCAACCACGAAGAGTTAACAATGTTTCAAACTCTATCCTGCAATTCCTTCCATGAACCCCTTCTCATCCCTGACTACTGTCGTCAATATAAAGCTGGATCGAACCAACTATTCTTTATAGTTGGCTTAGATTCTCCCAATCCTCGAAAGCCGTGACTTGATGGGGTACGTTGATGGGTCCATTGAATGCCCTCCTAAACAACTTCCTGGCAATGCTACTGTCAAGTTGTCAACCCAACGTACAGTACGTGGATGCAACACGATCAAATGATCCTCAGTTGGATCAATGGCTCCTTCACGCCATCTGTGTTGTCCGTTGTGGCCAGCAAGAGGACCTCTCGTGCTGCCTGGGAGGCTCACGAGCAAAGGTATGCCTCTTCGTCCCAAAATCGCATCTTGTTTCTCTGAAATGAACTGCTGCTAACCAAGAAAGGTGATATGTCTAATGCTGACTATCTTGACCGAATGGACTCAATATCTGATAACCTTGCCGTAGCTGGCAAACCTGTGAATGATGATGAGCTTGTCCAACGAAATGACCGAACGCTGCTCAGGCACATGATACACTGATATCCCAATGAATCGTGTATCCTACTCTTGAAGCTCTCCTGCTGACTACGGAGAGATGAATGACAGAGCAAACTGCGCCTCTTTGTGGAGGCTGCTCCTGCTAATGCCTTTGTGGCTACTAGAGGTCGTGGTGGACGATCTCGTGGAAGTAGACGTGGTGGTGTGTTTCCATCCACTCGTGGTGGTGGTGCTGCCAACCAGCGAGGCTTTATTCGTCGCAACAACTTCAACAACAACTTACGGCTCAACTCTGCTTGTAATGGTGAAAGGCTCAACACGGCAGGAGAAAGGATTACCTGCCAAATATGTGGAAAACTAGGGCATCCTGCCCTAGACTCTTACCAAAGAATGAATGCAGCATATGAGGGAAGGATTCCAGCCAAACGCCTCACTGTCATGGCCACGTCACCTATCGCTCTCAACAGGTAGAACAATGGACAATGGCTCTGGACACTGGTGCAAATGCTCATGTCACGGATATTCAGAATTTGGTGAATGCGAAAGAATATAACGGTAACGAGAACGTTAATGGTGTAGGTGATGATAATGGTCTTTCAATATCTCAGGTTTAATTTAGACAATAACTGTTATTGCTTATTTTTCCTCACTTTTTTCTTGTACAGAACCTCAAGACCCAGAAGATGCTTTTCCACGGGAGATGTGAGAATGGCTTATACCCATTCCCAGGTGGCGGTGGACAGTTCAATTACCCTATTTCAATGTGTAGGCATTCGAGTCTCTGCCCAGAAATGGTGGCCACCAAACCTAAAGTGGCGACCACCAGACCTATCACAGTCGTATCATTTGACAAAATTTTGTCACCAGTTGACTACACATGTCAAAGTGATAGAATGATAAGGGGAAGCAGCTTCTGACTTTAGTTCCCAGAACATTTCTTTTGATCTTGTAAACTAGATCCAAGCGGATTGTTAACAAGCCTAATCAAAGCATGTTCCTAACGGGCCTGTAGTATCGAACCACCACTGAACTTGAAGCAGCAAACGACACACGACAAACAGAAAATAAAAAAAAAAAAAAACCTGTAGAACACTAGCTGAATCCAGGCACACTCGCGCATCCAAATGGAATTGACTTCTGTTATAACAGAATTCGAATGCATTTTCATGACAAAAGAAAGCTTAGACTGTTCGATTGGATCAGTGAATTTACATACACCGTTCTATAAGTTACAAGGTACACACTAGTCAGACTTACAATTGAAGACCTAAGCCAAGGCAACGACTTCACCACACAAACCTGTAATGATTGAAACAAAAATTATGAAGGTAATACACATCATGATAATGGAAAGACATACAACGACTAAAGTACACATACAAGTTTCATACTTACATTGTTCATAAATCTCTTCTATTAACAGTAGCATTGAGTCGGTATCTTCTGCCATCATTGAAACTCTTTCTGCTTCCTTCATTGCTTGAATAGCCAGAAAGCTTTTGTTATCAGCATCCACGAGTTTGTAGGCAGCATTATCAGCTGCATCCTTCACTGTTTCGGTAGAGATCATTGGCACATAATTCTGCAACTTCCGGGGCCTCACTTCCTTTTGATCTGGAGTAGATATAGGTGTTTCTGCTATCAAAGTTACATCCTTTTTGATCTTGTAACCATTTTGCGCCTACATTTGAAGGGAACACTTTAGAATGTTTCAAGTATCAACGAGTGTGGTATAATTAGGAACAAGATTTGACGTGACAGAAGTACACAACAAAGCATCAAAGAGAAATGTTCGAAAGATATAAGAAGTACAAGATCTAATAATACCGTGCAAGTGCCAACTAGATAGTTAGAATATGAATATGAGTATTAGCTATTACTCAACATTTGAGAAATACAACCAGGTTGTGTTCAAGCCTTCTGAGTTCTGACAGGCTACATGCAAATAAACAACATAAAAAAATTATTAAAGAAAAACTTGTAAAATGTCATCATGCTAAATATACCTTGTCCAGTTTTCCTTGCATAGCAAGCTGTCTTAACCTTGTACCCAAAACCCTTCTGAAATTTGCTGGTACAGGCACCTCATGCCTTTGCTGCAGTAGGTGTATCAAGATTCAAGACAGTCACCATCTTTCTTGTACGAATATGAAATTTAAAAAAAGGCAGCTAGAGATTATTTGCAAACTCAAAAGTATGAGTGAGAGGCGAGGATTCAGCAACTGTGCCTTGCCTGCTCAGATAAATAAATCTACTTAAATAGTTTAATACCCGTAATAATTGATAATGTTAGTGAGAAACACTTCAAGATGAAACCATAGAAAACAAACTCCTCACTCACACTGCTAATAGTCGGGTGTAATAATAGTTGGGTTCAAGGGTTTTTCTCCTTCAGAAAGTCAACTGGTAATCCGATGGAAGGTTAATGAAACTAACATATAATATGTTAATATGTTCTCAACCTTACGCAGCTTGTCGTTGGTTTGTGCAACAAAATTTTAACTTTGAATGTCTGAATATATGTAGTGAAAGGCTTTACGCTATGCAAGATTTTTTTTCATAATTCTGCAGCAGGTTTCCCAACTAAGCTACAAACATTCAACAATCTAATACAGATATTTCATAATAAATCGAACTAATCAGATATTTTTAATAATACATAACAAAAGACCTCCATCTGACCTCAATATAGTTAAGAATGGCACCTATAGTAGATCCATCCTTATCTTTCATCGTGAAAAGGGCCTCAAAAATCATTGCATCATACCTGTCGAAAATTGTTTAAAAGGAAGAGAAAATAAAGGAACAGATCAAGTATCCCGCAGATGACTTAAACAAAAAGCTCTACAAAGTTTATCCATAATGTAGAAGAAAGACATTAATAACAGTGGATACCAACTGTGAAAACAGAATAAATTAGTGAATGGTTGAACGAGTGAATGCCTAAACGGAAAAATTTTGAATCGCTGTAAATCATACAGAAAATTACACTAGCTAGAACAAACTGAACTTTAATGTCTATCACAACAGAGGCAGCATCTGTTCTATACAAACGTACTGCACCCGCAGTAAATACCTCACCATCTACTTTGTGCTTTACTATGTCCTCCTATCATACTGTATCAGATCACACAAAAGGTCAACAATGGCTCTAGTTTGAGAAATTTTGGTACGTTTGGCATTTTTCAAAGATCTCCATGTCCCTGGAACTTTGTTTCAACCAGTCTCTAGGAAAAACAACGTATTTCAATTCTTAATTCCAGTTGTCTGAAAAGAGGAAAAACTGAAAGAGTTCTTCATAGCATGTCGGGATTCAGGAGTTTTTTCTCTCCATCTTTGAATCCTATATTCTAAACATCGGTTGACATGACATACCATACATTTGCAAACACCCTTTCTACTTCAATTCAAACGGTCCCAACATCATGTTCATTTCAACCGGAATTTTGTTCTAAAGAAGCGATATCAAAAAGAAATATGAAGCACACCGTCTAAGGCCTGACAACATCAGGATCACAAAAGCACACACCTTGGAGCATTTTTCCCATCAGATGCTGTACTCAAAGCATCGTTTGTGACAGCAACGAGAGATGCATTGGGTCGAACCGAAGCAGCAGAAGCAGGGCTCTGAACAATGTCATGCTGGGTACCCACAACCTTTCTAATCTTTGTAGCCCTTGGTCTTTCCTTAGAACCATGTCCACAAGAATTAACACCCAAGTTCCTCCACTTATCCTGATTCGCAAGCAAAAATCGAGACAAGGAAATAACATTGCAAAAGAAAGGACCAAAATCATTAATTCATTTACTGAAGCAGCCAATACACCCATAGCAAATGCAGATTAGACAAAACCAAAACTAGGGTTTCTTCATATACAATTATATATGTATATATATACAAAAAATACATGCATGCATATTTGTCTGTATCAATTGCTGATTATTTTTGGTCAATTTCAAGCAGAAATTGGGAGACCTAGGGTTATCTAAGCAGGAAATTGCATATTTCTCAGAAATTCAATGAATAATATATCTGCCTAACAGTTCAACCACCATCAACTCAGGCCTTTTTTTTTTTTTTTTTTTTTTTGAAAAAAAAAATGGCACTTTACTTTTTACAGTTTCATTTTTTTAACTTAAAATTTATCTAAAAAAAAAAAAAGAAAACTGAGGAAAGAGTGAACTTTTCCTTTTAGTAAGATGAACAAGTGGCAATAGATGTAAATAGGAGGGAACCTTGAGGTCGATATTGGAGCGGTGAATAAGGAAAGGGGCGCATTCAGGATCTTTGATGATGTTCTTCCACTTGCCGGGTCCGTGCTTCGCTACTCCGGCGAGTAGGGCTTCTTCCTCCGCCGCCGTCCACTTTTGCTTTTGGTTTCCCATTCTACCCCTCTCCCTCTCTCTCTCTCCCCCGAAGCTTTCTCTCTTAGTCTCCTTCTCTCTTGACTTCTGTCTAAAACTCTGTGTGTGTCTGTCTCTATCTTAAACATATTTTAGCTTTCGAGGGAAGGACGACATCTGTGAGTCTCTCTCCCGCTTTCCGCTGCCCCTTCGTTGGTTTGGATAAAAGCCCATCTTACAATATCTATGTCTCGTATCGGCCCCAGACACTATCATGTTCCACGGCCCAAAAGGTCCAACGACTAGTAAAATAAAATGAATGCCAAGCCAACACACCAACGGATTTTTTTACGGAGTTGGAAGGACAACATTGATGACTAAAGCAAGAAATAAGGGACGAAAATGATGAGTTTGAAATATAAAGGACAAACTGATGAGTTGATAAAACATCAAGGATCATGAGTGATAAATATTCTATAAATAGTTTGAAATTTTTATGGATCATATATGTTTCATAACGTGCCAAATGTTGTTTCAAGAAATCCTTCCAAAAGTACATTTTCAAGAGGAACTTAAATGTCAACATATTTTTAATGAAAACAATTATGATACAAGCGTTTATTAGTAGAAGTGTTGTTTAAAAAAGCAAATTTACACGAAACCTATTTATATTAGTAACTACAACGAGTGGCGGCAATTGAAATTATTACTTTAGTCTAGAGAAGGCTTTTCAATTGCACCGTACAAATGAATAGTCTTTGGAGCCGAATTTCACTTTTATTTACGAGGTTGCCACTGACTCTCTCCGCCGCTCATCTTCATGCCGCGTGTTGATGATCGTGGAAGGGCAGGGGTGCAATGGTCATTTTACTCTGTAGGGTTTCGAACGAGTTGGGTGAGTTAGAGACTTTCATTTCCTTTCTTTCTGAGCTGCAGTGGGACTCAGTGAGACCATGCCGTCGGGAGAGAGAGACCGAGCGAGCAGAGAGACAAAAGAGACACGGAGGGAGAGAGATAGGGATTTGGTGAGAGGAAGTCATGCGGCTTGTAGGTAGGCAGAGTCACGGGGGGTGTACGATTCGAAGGAGAGGGAGAGGGAGACAGCGCGAAAGAGATAGTGGGAGAGGGAGGAGTAAGGATCGCTCGCTGAGGGTTTCGCAGTTGGGATGCCATGCTGATGGAGATAGAGATAGAGATAGGAGAAGGAGACAGAGACAGAGTGACAGAGAGAGAAGGAAAGGGAAGAGTGGGGATCTCAGCGCCATTGCTGCAGATCCTTGATCTTCTTCGATCCCATCTCTGTGTTCTTCTCAGCCTCTCACAATCGCAGCATCACTCACCCACTCACTCACTCACTACAGGTACACCTCTTAAACCCCCTTTTGTATTTTTATCTTTCCTGATTGATGATTTAATTTGGGTTTTATTAATAGTTTAATTTGGAGTTTAATTAAAGGTTTAATTAAGGTTTGTTGTTGGGGTTTAATTGAGGGTTTTACTTAGGTTTTGAATTAGGTGGGTTTTTTGTATTTTAGGTCCCCAAGTTTTTCACTTTCATTGTGGATTGTTGTTTTGGATTTAATGAGCTTTGGGTTTTTCATTTTTCTCAAATTCCCAGCTGATTTGGCTTCCAAATAAAAACCAACAAATCACCTAAAAAAGAGAGCTCACATTTGTAATTTGAGGAGATTTATTGGGTTTTGTTTGGTTGCCCTAGACAACGGATAATAAGGGTTCTGTTTGAATGTCTGCTTGCTCTACCCCTATTTCTTAAATGATTTGTGGGCTGCTGCTTCCCTTATGTTTCCATTCAATTCTTTACAATTTTAGACTCTTTGATTGCATTGGTATGTGATATGTTGTTTTTCCCCCCTCTATGCATTGTTCAGCTGAACGATGAATACTCTGAGGTGAAAAGAAATGACCTCTCGAAGGCACCATGGTATGATTTGTTTATTTTTATTCTTCCTTATGGCAAAACACTGATAGTATGCTTTCACTGTTACTGGTTCAGCCCCTCTGTTGCTTAAATTGTTCAATGCTATAATTCTCTGGGATTCTGAACTTTGTTATGTTCATTTTACAAGGGGGTACAGGTTCTATGATGATTTCTTCTGATTTTTGTTCTTGACATTGTTGCTGACACAAAAATTTCTGATTAAATTGATATTGGCCAATGACTATGTTCATATTAATATACAATGTTCTTTATGCCTTGACTTGGACTAGGACTCTGAGTGCACGTGAGAATGCTTTTTCTCTAATACTTTTACAATAATTATAGGAAGTTGTAACTGGAATTGGATAAAATTGTAAAGCAGTTTTGAATACCTCTTTTTATTATTATTATTATTAATATATATATATATATGTCTATATGTATATGTATATGTGTGTGTGTGTGTGTGTGTGTGTGTGTGTGTGTAAGGGCTCGCCTTACAAATTAAGGCACCTGAAGAGAAGGAAAATTGTATTTGGACGTATGAGAAACTTATCTTTTATTGCTCTATGTTTACTTTTCCAAAGCAACAATTAAGATGGCAACAAAACAACGTGACATTTGAAGTTACATTGGATTTATGTTTCTGATGTGTTAAGTACATTGTTAGGACTACAGATTTGGATTGAACTCAATGTTGTCCGTGTATATAAATATATGTGTGTATATAGATGTGTGTGTGTGTGTATAGATTTATACATAAAGGGAAGATGGATGGATAGGTGTATGCTTAGTCTGTAAGAGAAGACGAGAAAACGAAAATCACACCAAACAACTCGAATTTAAAGCTCTTTTTCTTTTTCTCTTTTGACATAAATCTTTCTTTGTTAGATTGCTAGGGGGATGCACTGTGTGAGGGCCATGTATGTTTTATTACAGTCGTATCTATAGATTTAGGAACTGGAGGAAAGAAGTGGAACAAACCATTTGCATGACAGAGACCGTGTGTGTGTGTATATATATCATATATCATATATACCATTTGTGGTCTGCTTTATAGGGTTTCGTTATCTTTCATTACAGTGGACGGATACCTGAACCAACTTTGATGGCACGATCTTACCTACTAAGCAAGGTTTCAGAGATAGTTTCAATTTGGAGAAATGACCTGAACAAGGTTAGACTTTTGCAGTGTTTTTCGTGATTCATGAACATGATGCTTTTCTTTCAAGTGAAATGTATATATAGAAGTCATACCAAAGGAAAGTTGTTATGTCTTCTACTTTATCGACCAATTGAATTGAAGCAAGGAAAGATTTTTGCATATATTTGGCTATTCCAAGTACTTTTAATTTGCAATATGGCAGGTCAATAAAAAAGTTGCAGAATCATTGGCTGATTCGCAAGAGTGTCCTAATTTGTTTGAGGACTGACAGGTTTCTCTTGCCTTAGAGTGTAAAGATGCAGAAAATAGGTATCCACCCTTCATTTCACTGTTTAACATTAGGGCCATGAAAAAAATCTACTTTTTAGCGCTGCAGTAGATATGACCATAAGTACTGACTGGCAATAAATTGTGCTTATTTGTTGGATGATTGTGGAATACTTTGTTGTCTTTTGCAGGGGCATTCATCCTCCTGTTGACGTAAGATACTCTATTGGGTACGTTCCATATGAGTTTCAACTGCATATATGTATGTGGCTTTATATTTTTTTGGTTCAATAAATTGTAAGCCGTCATTTTAAAATCACTTTAGTCTAAAAGGAGTGAGAAATGAAGTTGGTCATATGGTACGTGTCGTAATGTCATAAAAATCTGCCGCAATAGTGATACTGAGTAAATATTATATTTATGAAACAATGCGGGATTTGTTGGATTTCTTTTCTTTTTTGTTTAGTGTGGATTCTCTTAGTCTTTTCTTTTGTAATTTTGCGTGCTTTCACAGACCATATGTGAACTGCATGCCGCTTATGTTTCTTATGCAAACAGACTATTTTTTTGAGATTACAACTTTTGTGAATAAAAACTTTTAAGTTCATCCATTTGATTGTAAAGTGGCTCTCGATGTTAGCTGAATTGAATATAAGTTAAAATCAAACTGCTTTGATTCGTTCACCCATCACTTGGTTATTTAAATTCTTTAGAGATGCCTATATTGATTTGTGATTTTATTGGATTCACTCTGGTGTGTGTTATCTACATTGGTGCATTTTAGGGGGTGACTTCGTTCGTACCGTCTTTGTAGTGCATCTTTTTGTGCAAATTATTTACCATTCTGCCATTGGCTCTTTCTGCCCTTGCTGTTGGTGGATTTCACATTATTTACAAAATTACCATTGCCTCTTCATTCTTCGTTTGGTGAGGGTTTTGGGGATGGGAGGCTATGCTGCCTCTGAGATAGAGATAGAGAGGGAGAGGGAGGAGTAGGGACCGCTCGGTGAGGGTTTCAGGGATGGGAGGCTATGCCGATAGACATAGACATAGAGATAGAAAGAGAGGGAGACAGAGACAGCGACTGAGAGAGATGGAGAGGGAGGAGTAGGGATCTCAGCGCCATTGCTAAAGATCCTTGATTTCATGAGTGGAAGAGGGGGGGACAGTCAAAGAAAAGCATGAGGGGGGGGGGGGGGGGGGGATTTGAGGGAGAGGGGTAGAGATTGTGGCTGGGGGGTCTAGCTTTGTCCCCTTGGTCTGTTTTCGACAGCACCACTGCGCTCAAACACTCTCTCTCGCAGTGGAACTCTCTCCCCCCTTACTCAATCCTCTGTTTTCTTCTCTGATTCATGGTTGGTTGATTTATAAAAAACGTTCGAGGATAAATTTGGGGTGGGATCTGGGTTTTCTGTGCATTACTTAAATTTTGCATTTTTTTTCTTCTGGATTTTCAATTAAGAAATGAATAAATTTGGGAGTTTCTGGTTTTGTATTTTGCTATTTATATGCTGCAATTACAGGAAAATGAGGAGGACAAGGAGTTGGACCCTGGATGTGCTCTTCTTCGTCAATCCTGCGTCTACATGTCCTCATTCACAAGATAAGTACCATTTTTATACTTGATTTTCTACTGCTTGGTTTGGTTTTAATTCTCTCTGCCATTCTTACTCCACACTCTCTATGTTTCTCACTCAGTTCAAAAGTGTGCTTTTTTGTTGGTTCTTGATGAAAGATTGACCATCGATGATTGTTATTGGTTATTCATGGTTGATTGAGCATTTTTGTTATATGAAACCATAAAGAATAGTTGCCTCGATGCTGAGTTTTTTTATTTCTTGATGCATTTGTGTTGATCAGGCATGAAGGGGCGGGTCGATATGAAGTGCATCTGTGGGACAATGGTTGCAAAAAGAAGGGCAGAGCAGGAAGGGAAGGCAAGGTTTGTCAAGAAAACACAATGATGTTTTTAATTACAAGAAATGTGCATTTTTTTCCAGTCAAATTCTGCTTTGTTATGACTATTTTCCATACTATATGCTGATTTTATTTTTAAAATTTTTGGTTTTTCTTTGATTAGCTGGGGAATTACAATCAAATGATGAATCTTTAGTTTACTTGGGTAAGCATTTTTTCACATATAATTTGGCTGACCATTTTAACTGTCAAACCATGTTGTTTTAGTTCATGCTACTAATCGTGCATTCGGTGGATTTATATATACAACAACGTTTAAATGCTAATCGATTACTAACATAATGCGGTCTTTATAGGAAAAGCAATGGATTCTCAAGAAGGGCTTTAATGTACAGAAGTATTACAAGGTCTTATTAGCTATTCATAATTTTATATAATAATTTAGATAAAATATCAATGAGAAATAATATATATACCAAATAAAAATCTCTAAAATCTCATTGTTTTGTTTCTTCTCTGTGTAGCCGACGTCATCAACATGGAAGATGGCTAGCCAGGATTGAAAAGGTTACTGGAGATAAGGATCTCTATCTTGGGCATTCAGTAAGTGATTTTTCAAACTTTATTTGTGTTTTTTCGTATCTAAAAAATTTCCTAATATTTTTAATATAATCAGTGAAACCACGATTTCATGTACTAGCTAGCTACTAGGATGCTTGGTTTTTGTATGATTCCGATTATTTGAGGTATCTGGGTAAAGTTTTGTTCAAAGTAGGAAAATGAATTTAAACTCAAGCTTCTTTACAAGCTTGAGGAGATATTTTAGTCTTATAATGATTAATAATTAAGATACAATTAGGGTAATACATGTACTACACATATTGCTAACTATGCTAGACCAAAAGTATCATCATCACCGCGTAAACATACCAATCAGTTTACATTCTATGAACGCATATGACGACTGAGGGGTTTAACCTTCAATTGCAATCTCATTTGTAAAGCTTTTGCTATCCCAACTGATATACACGTGTAATTTTGTGTTTACACCATACTAAACAATATTTTTTTCATATGTTTAATCAAACTCTTATCTAATGTACGTTTCACAAAGATAAACGCGCAAAAATTAGATGACATCCTATAAAATTGCCAGAAAAAAGGTCATTTCCAACTAATGCAAAACCAGACTTCTTTCCCCACAGAAAAACACTAGGTAAACACAATCTATCCTTATTTTGTTCATAATATAATTCTATTGTGATACAATTTTATTTCATGTATGCATGTTATTTCTTTTCCTCATAATTTTCATATAATTTATGAAGAATGTATAGGAACGATAATGATCGAGTGGATTATGCGAGTCTCACCATATAAACTATAAATTCCACATGATTGTTCCCCGTCCCCCTCTTAAAACATAGTTTGGGTGGATTAACTAAGATATGTGTAGTTAATCTTTTTGTTTGTCTACAAGTCATGGTTTTGAACTTTTGATGCTTGGTGACTAGCAATGTAACATATAATTAATGGGCAGGGCTTGGAGAGGCAGACCCCAGATGGTGTATGCCTTCACCAGCATGACCAAGGTGGTTAACCCTGCCAACTGGAGCGACGATAACCACCCTGAAAGTAACAAGTAAGCAAATTATGTCAATTAAAACATGATTAAGCATTTTCATATAATTAGTTTTGAGAGTTAATAATATAATTTGGAATTGCAGCAATGTGGCCTACAAAGAGTACACAAACAAGTCAAGTCTTTCATTAGCCTTGGATATATTCAGGGTATGGTTGCTTCCTCCTCCAAATCCAAAAGTGTAGTTATATGTATATATATGTATATATATTACTTATATACACTACTAATTTTGTTAGTACTAGGGAAATAAATGATGTTTCTATGTGCATATATATATATATATATATATATATAGGTTCGATTACAAAATTATATCGATTGAAAATGATACTTTATGTTATCATTGACTTGGTAGATGAAGATGTTTCATTTTGAAAATGAAAGATAGACTATACTTGGAACAAAATTCTTGAGACTGTTAAGGTGTGCTTTTATAAAGCATATTCTCTGCTTTTAATGCATTTTCAATCTGGTCTTTAATTTGTTTCAATTGGGCTCATGAAGTTTGATTACTCTTCATTTTCAATTGTACCAATTGGGGTCATAAAGTGGTTCAAAGAGCTCCAAGAGCTTGATTCACCCATTTTATACTTTTCATGTAAAACTTATTTCAAAAAGCCAAAACATCTTTCATTGTAAATGAATTTAACCATAGGTAACAATCTTTTATCCCTTCTTTTTGTTGCATTGTTTAGGTGGTGAATTGCACGGAAAGTGGGGGAGAGGGGTACAAGTTATTTAATTTGAGCAAAATAGTAGCATTTAAGCTTAGTTGGTTAGTGAGGATTAGAGTCAATAAGGCATCCTCTGTCTAGCTATATCTGAAATCTGAATTCATTGAACGATGAATAAGGTTGTAGTGAGAGAAATTGAGAAAGTCAAGAAAAGATGGTCCGTACAGTATGTTGTATGTTTCGGGATATCACAACATCTTAATTTCTGCTCTCAGGTTGCTGAAAGTCTGTAATTTTACTTGCTACTTGATTATAAAAATGTAAAACAAAATATGTACATGATTTACAAATTTGGGTTTGATTTTAGACGTTTTTCCAGTGTAAGGCATATGTTGCACATGCATGTAAATGGTACAAATTGTTTTGGTTTTGGACAATAAGCTTTTGAGTTTTACAACCCTTGCAAGGGGATTGTGAGTCCAACAAATTTAGTGTTGGGGGATACAGTTTGGTTCTCCTTAATACATAATATAACAACGGCCTAGAAATTTTCCATCAAGGAATATGCAAATGTTTTTTGCGCATCTTGGTGTGTAGTTTGTATGAAGGGGCATTAGTGCGTATTATCTGCATTGGTGCATTTGGGGGTGTGATTCCGTTCTTACCGCCTTTTTAGGTTTGAACATCTGTGCTTGACAACTTAGCTGCTCGAGCAAGAGCGGAACACTTATTTTTGGTAACTGCTAAAACAGGTGCCTAGGCTGTAGACATATATTTTGCCGTTTTAACTGCAGGGGAAAAATATGTGTCAACTGCATGTTGCTTCTGTTTCATACGGAAACAGGGCTTTTGCATATTTTTGGCTTTGAACTTTTGTGCTTGGAAAATTAGCTACTTGAACAAGTACTGAACACTTTCTATGTTTTTTTTATTTAGTGCTGAAATAGGTGTCTGCCCTGCAGGACACATAATTTGCCATCTAAACTATACAAAATGTGTGTGAACTGCGTGTTTTTGTTTCTTCTGTTTCTTATGGAAACCGAACTTTTTGGGCAACCATGTATTTGTGATCAAGAACATTCAGTTTCTTCCTACTAATTGTGCAATGTCTTTACATTTTAGTTCAGTTGAATGCATATGAAAGCCAAGCTGCTTAACTTATTGACCTCATTCACTCATGTGTCCCTCTGTTCATTCATGATCATGTTGAATATATTCAGGTTAAATGTGTCTTAATCATGCAGTTATGCCTGAAACAGTGGTTCTCGCTGCAACACTCAGGCTTATTTTCTAGTATGTACTAAAGTAAAACTTTGCTCAATTTATAGAGATTCAAATTGAAAGTGAGATTACTCCTCACATGTATGGAAGATCACCAATGCTTTGAATTGTTTACTTGGATAATGTATTGCCTGTTGGGCTTAACTTAAATATATGGTTCTAATTTCTACTTGGAATATGTCTATTTTTGAGAAGATCACTGATATAAATGAGAACATCATTATCTTATCTTCTTTATATTTAAAGCCAACAATCCTTTTTGGGGTAACAAGCTTCATCAAAATTATTTGAAAAAAAATGCCCCCAAAACAAAAATTTCAAAAGCAACCCAAAATAATGCACCTAATAATGTTGGGATATTTTCGTCATTTTAACAATGTTTTTTTTAATAATTAATTCTTTTTGTACAATTTTTTTTAATTAGTACCTTACAATAGGTTAGTAATAATGTGATTCAATTAGTTGTTCATTAAATATTATTTTCTCTATTTTTAAACACGTTCAAAACATCTTAAGAAAAAAAACACTGTACAAAAGAATTAATTATTAAAAAACACTATTTATATGATGAAAATACCCTTGCATTATTTGGTGCATTATTTTGGATTGCTTTTGAACTTTCTTGTTTGGGGGCATTTTTGTCCTAAATTTTTTTATGAAGAAAGTGATCCCAAAAGTGCCTCCTGCCTTTGTATATAACTAGCCTTCATGCATGTGCTCATGCGCATGCAGAAGACATTTTTTTAATTACAGTGTGTTACGCGCGACTTGCACATTTTCAATGTATTTATATGCGTGAATTGACAAAAGGAAAATCAAATATTTACTTACACATTTTAAATGTTTTCAGATGCGTGAATTGACAAAAGTAAAGTTAAATATTTGAAGTAAATGAATAATCTTAGATCATGCTAGAAAAAACCCCTCACAAACCAATCAAATCAGCTGAATTCACATACTAAAATCAGTCTTTCAATTTCCATCTGCATTCTATTGAATGTACATTAAGAATAGAAAAAATAATGTTTAATAAACAATTGATTGAATCGTATTATTGTTATGCCATTGTGAGGCTAAGTCCATCCCCTCCCCTTTAGTGTAGATAATATCGCTTGTTAAAAAAAAAAACAATCATTTGACAACCAATTTAATCACATTATTATGTAAGTGCTAAAGACCTTTTTTATAACCTGCATGTGATTCAATCAGTTGTTTATTAAATATTATTTTCTCTATTTTCAAACACGTTAAAAATATCTTAAGAGGCGTATAGTTTCGGTTATAAAAAAGATCTTTCGCACGCGCATAATAATACATTTAAAACATGTAAGTCGTGCGTAGCATTCTGTGATTCAAAAAATACCTTCTGCATGCGCTCACCAATTATAAAAAAAATGTCTTTTGCACGTGCATAATGATACATTTAAAACGTGTAAGTTGCGCGTAGCATGCCATATTCAAAAAATATTTTCTGCATGCTTGTGAACGCGTGAATGAAGGCTAGTAAAAACATTATGTTGGCAAGTCTCCTAACATATATTTGTTCTAACATAAAAACATATGCTTTCAAGACAACCTGATTCCTTTTGGCTATTATTTCTATAGATTTGTGTTAGAGTATGACTGGTAACTAATTGAGAGTTTTTATTTATTCCTTCCTTCCATAAAAGTGGCTTTTACCGGCTTATGTCAGTTTAATTCTCATAATCTGATACCTAATAGTACCAAAAAAAAAATAATAATAATCTGGTACTGCTGTAAAATTGACGGTGTGTGCAGTGGAATAAATAAAACAAGACACAAAATTTATGAGGTTCCTCTACAGTCAGTGTGACTAGAGTACGTCCTTGGAGCAGCAGTGGTGCTTTCATTATAATTTAGAATAATAAGAGTACAAAATAACTCTCTCTATTATCTCTACTCAGTTTCCTCTCTTCCTTTTCCGTGAGCCTTGTGGCTTCTATGTATTTGCTCTCATCCTCAACATTTCCTTTTATAGGCACAGATGATAGTGCTTGCTGCCTTACTGCTAACTAAGCTACAGTGTTCTAAAGTGGTTGATATAGTCATCCATTACATCATTTAGTGGTTAGCTACCAATGTTTACAACACTCCCCCTTGGATGACCACAAATCTTTGATTGACTCGTTAAAATCTTGATCTGTTTTTAGATGCTCCCCCTGATAAGTAGTACCGCATCTGTTGTGCTTGTTGACTTTCCACAAACTTGGTCTTGAACTGGGTTGGAGGGCCTTCTGTTAGACTTTTTCCAAAGGTCTGAATTTACTCCTTTTATCTGGAGCAGGATTTGATTCAAGGGTTGTGGACACTTAATCTTGAATTAGACTTGTGATTTCTTCAAGGCCTTGGGACTTGTTCTTGAACGAAATGGAACCACGAGCAGCTCCACGTAACAAGTGATCTTCGGCTCCGTCGGGAATGAATCAGTATGTGTTTTGTTGTACTTGTCTCCACATGCTTTAATATATCATTTTCACTTACTTTATATGTTCCCCTTGCAGAAGTGGTATTTTTCCTATGCAGGTTTGACATCTTCTCTTGCAGTATTTGTCCTCTGATGTAAGAGTGGAATGTAAACCTTGCATTTGAAAGATCCTTCAGAACATCACTTCTCAGCGACTCATCATGCTTGGCAGCTTCAATCATCATATCAGCAGTTTGAAAATGAGTACTCGAGAGCAATGCTAGATAAACAATCAGGAAAATTTCCAGGCAGTTGGTTCCTGACTGGAAATTTGATTTCAAGTTCCGACTGATTGCTTTCTTTCTCCTTAGTCCTCTAGGTGAGAATAAGGACAAAGAAAATGACAGAGAGATTGCATGATATGAGATACTTTTGCTCTCGTCCCTGATGATATGAGATATTTTTTCTTTGGTGTGACTTATTTGAAGAGGTATTCTCGGAGTGAAAGAAAACTGAGTATTTAGAGATGCTTTTTTGAAGATGCATTCTCGGAGAGGAAAAAGAGTTAGATATTTTTGTAGGTCTGCCTTGTTATGGAAGATAGAGGTCGACATATATAGGGATTTCCCAATAACAGATAGAGATGTTGTGCCTTTGCTTTTGTCAGCAACTATGGTGTAAATAGAACAGTAAGATTCATGCGTTTTCAACTTTATCAGAGATCTTTGACAAAGTTGCATGTGATATCCAAAAGCTAAGATTACGTTTAAGAAATGTTGACGAACTTTATCCTGAAAATCTGGCTTTCGAAATTCGGAGAACAGTATCTCTTTGATTTTTGAACAAGTGGCCCTGTTGCTTCTTCTTTTGTAAAGGCATCAATTATGCTCAAAATGTATGCTCGAAAAACTACTACATGTAGAATTTTCCCTTTCTTGCATTTTTGAGATTTTATCTGATCTCCTTTTTCCTTCATCATTTCTGAAAAATGGTTTGCCTATCTAACATTTGCTTAGATTTGAATCTTAAGAGTGGTACAAACGAGCCGCGTCAGGATAATATATGGCGCCCGTCCTTCTTATCTTCTAATGGTTATCTTATGGATGAGGACTATGTGATGAAGAATGACCTAACCGCTATCGTGGTAGTTAGGAATATTCTCATTCCTAAGGATAATAGAATCCTTTCAAACCGGTCTGATGAGTCGACCATTCAAGACTCATTGGCTTTCATTATTCAGTGTGTGGGCTCTGTTTCTAATATGGGCCAACGCTTACTTGCTCGAACTCACCAAGTTGAATCATTGATGGCTGAGGTGGTAAGTCTTAAACAGGAGATTAGAGGGCTCAAACACGGGAATAGAATGTTACATATGCTTGCAAATAATTACTCGACGACCATGAAAAGAAAGCTCAACCAGCTAATAGAATCCGAAGGTCGGACTCAAAATGACAATTAGGGGTTCAAGTCTTTATTCCAAAAACACTCATTGTCTCAGCCATCTGGAGTTTCACCAAGTACTGAGGCTCCAAATAATCAACCTCTGGTGCCTTCCACTTCTGGGGTACTTCCGAGTACTGAGGCTTCACATGAGCAACCTTTGTGAAGGTTCCCTCCTGTTTGTTTGTTTTAAGTCATATGTATGTACATGTCTGTAA